TTTTTCTGGGAATCGACGATTGATGGTGTCTGTGTGTTTTTTCCCTCCTGACCAGCGCGGATCCAAGAAACCCGCGCGGAGCGCCAGAAGTTTCTGCTTATGGTTCTGTCGGGCAAGTATTCCTACAGGCGGAATACAGTCAAAAACCCTAATAAGGACGCGCGACCTTGCTCAGGGTACCCTTGCGTCCTTGCTCTTCCTTGGCCGTGCGGTCTTGGGGTTTTCGTCGTCCGCCGCCCCAAAAATCCCAGCTTCGGCTTCCAAGGGTCTTGCGTCCTTACCGCGCGTCCTGATTAGGGTTTTTGAACGTATGTCGGGCCTGTCCCTCTACAGGCGGAATATTCAAAGTACTCAAAAAAATTGTCTGGGGACGATTGTCAGTAGGTTCTGAGTTGTTGGGGATATTTTTGGGGGGTATTTGGTTCGCGCAGGATCCGCCTGTAGGGAGGACATGCCCGACCTGCGTTTTCTGTTGTCTGTCTTCTGGGCCAGGCAGAGACCCCAGACCCCCTCGAGCGACGAAACCATCACGACGGGAGGCTCTTCGCCATGTTCGGCCTCTGGGGGCCCGTGCCTTGCCTCGGGGCCGTTCACAAGCGACTCGGGATGAAGAGATCGTGACGTCGGGAGCCTTGGGACGGGGGACGATGCAACCGGGGGTCAGTCCGAGCGCCGAATCCTGCAGGATCCTGCAGGGCCAGGGTGGCACCGGCCCGGCCTTGGGTGCAGGGTCCTGCAGGATTTTGCAGGGCCCTGCCACGCCCGACTGGCCCGGGTCCGAATTGACCCAGATCAGTAGATCCCCGATGGCGAGGCGTCTTGGCTTGCCTATGGGCCCACCAAATAATGTTGCAAGAGCCTGCTGTTTGCCTAGTCTGAAAACGCCCGCCCTTTGCTGTAAGAATGTTGTTTGTACTCCTAGAACACTCTTTGGTTTAAGAACATGTCGTGGTAGGCCTATAGGGATGCCAGGGCGGTCGGTCCCAGCTGGACAGAGCTCTTGACAAGACTCAAGGCGGTATTTTTTCACCTTTTTCAGCCTCTGAGGTCCCTCGCCTGTCCCTGGGGCCGTCAAACAAACGACTCAGGATGAGAAGCCGGCCTCGGGGAAGGGGTCCGGGTGTCCAGTGGCCCCGTATTGACAAACATCAGCGGAGCTATGAGAGGGCGATCAAGGGAGGAAGTCTCATATCCATGCCCAGGATGTGGCGGGATCTTGTCGACGCCGATCTTGGTCGTGGTCCATGCCGGCCGTCGCCGGATCGCGAGGACGATCTAGAACTGACGATGATCAAGATGGACGATGGCCAAGATCGACACAGACATTCCATCGTTTAGTCTTGGTCACGGTCATCGTTGTTTTCTCCTCCAGCCTCCAGATGCGTGAGGGGCGGTGGGAGGGAGGGAGGGAGGGAGGGAGGGAGGGAGAGATCTGCGACCACTTGCGAGCCCTGCCCTGAGGCTCCAACTGACGCTGGGTTGTCGGGCACCCCCGCTGCAGCTCACCCGGCTGCAGACACCCTCGGCATTCTGAGCCCCAGCCAGCGCTAGTTACAGCAGTCTGATCTTCAGCGGTAGGGTTCAGACGTGGTTGCCCAAGGGAGGCAGGAAAGGCGGAAGTGGAAACGGGAGGGAGGCTGGAACCCCGGGGCGGAGGCGCGGGGTAGGCGGGCAGGCGGGACGAGAAGCGCGGCGGGGAATCGGGGTGAGGTGGATGTTGAGGTGAAGAGGGGCGGGAGCCGTGTGTTGAGAGAACACCCGCCCAGACAGGTGGACTGAGGAAATCGGCACTGGTTCATTCGACACTGACATGCGAGTGTAATGGAGGATGACGATTAATAAATGACCGGGGGTCGTGTTCACGCGGCGGCGCCCGGGATGACGATTAGAAAAAAATCCGGCCGCGGGCTGGAAAACTATTCTTTTTAATCGTTCTCCTCCAGTCAGAAAGTTGCCGAAATAGCAGAAAACTATGTTTTTAACGTTCTCTCCCATTTTTCCCGGAAAGGGCGTAGGCCCAGGGTTCTCTTTTAGTTGGTAAACCTAATCCCCCGGTGCCTGCTTGAAGGAGGCCGGCGAATTTTTTCCCTGATAAATAACGAGGTCGAAGGAGGCCGGCGAATTTTTCCCTGATAAATAACGAGCCCGCGAATTAAAATTTGAGGATGTCTCGAGCGAAACGCTTGTTTTTGAGCGCCCGCGAATTAAAATTTGAGGATGTCTCGAGCGAAACGCTTGTTTTTCAGAAAATGGTGAGGATGTCTCGAGCGAAACGCTTGTTTTGTGTTATAGATTGTCCTCTCCTGGGGACCTGATTTCTGAGGACCACCTCCCAGCACGACCACCCCCCCAGCACGGACCACCCCCCAGCACGACCACCCCCCAGACCACACCCCAGCACGACCACACCCCAGCACGACCACTCACCCAGCACGACCACACCCCAGCACGACCACACCCCAGCACGACCCCAGCACGACCCCACCCTAGCACGACCACACCCCAGCACGGCACGACCACACCCAGCACGACCACACCCCAGCACGACCACACCACAGCACGACCACACCCCACGCACGACCCACACAGCACGACCACACCCCAGCACGACGACTCCCCAGCACGAGCACGACCACCCCACCCAGCACGACCACCCCCCACCGACCACCCCCCAGCACGACCACACCCCAGCACGACCACTCACACCCAGCACGACCCCACCCCAGCACGACCCCACCCTAGCACGACCACACCCCAGCACGATCACACCCCAGAACGACCCAGCACGACCCCAGCACGACCCCACCCCAGCACGACCACACCCCAGCACGACCACACCCCAGCAGGACCCCACCCCAGCACGACCCCACCCCAGCACGGCCCCACCCCAGCAAGACCACACCCCAGCACGACCACACCCCAGCACGACCTCACCACAGCACGACCACACCCCAGCACGATCACGCCCCAGCACGACCACGCCCCAGCACGACCACTCCCCAGCACGACCACCTCCCAGCACGACACCCCCCCCAGCACGACCACCCCCCAGCACGACCACCCCCCCAGCACGACCACACCCCAGCACACACACCCCCAGCACGACCACACCCAGTCGCACCCCCGTGGAATGTTTCGTGGGGTGTCTCGTGGAATGTTTCGTGGGGTGTCTCGTGGAATGTTTCGCGGGGTGTCTCGTGGAACGTTTCGCGAGGTGTCTCGTGGAATGTTTCGCGAGGTGTCTCGTGGGATGTTTCGCGGGGTGTCTCGTGGGATGTTTTGTGAGATGTCGCCCAGTTGGGTATCGTGAAAACGTGACCATGCTGCGCATGTCTATATCCCTTTCCGGGTTCGTGGGTCCATCATGTTTAATAAACGTCATCCCGCATTACGGGTGCAGTCCGCCGTCGGCTTCGCTGATCGGCGTGAGCTTTCCGGATACGTGCGATGGTTGTTGAAGGTAGATTTGCTGTCCCGCCTGGGTCCACTCGGAATGCGGTGCCGTGCGCACGTGGAGTGCCCTCGGAAGTTCTCATTCAAGTGCGTGTTGCTCCATGGCGTTTTGTCAAATCCTCGAGAGAAGCGCGGCGGGCAATGTCAGAAAGGGGACGCCGAGGCGGAGAGGGGCGGGAGGCGGGAGAGTGGAGGAAGCGGCCACACGGATTCGAGGCGCATGGATCAGCGACGGGCCCCGTCTCCGCAGAGCGGAGACCCGTGCCAAGGAAGGCCCTGCTTGCCTCCAGGGTGCCCTGGGTTTCGCTGGCTCTGCTGTGGAGAGCGCGGCGCTCGTTCCCGCACTGAAAACCCATACAGTCGGGGCCCTGAAGAAGGAACCCTTTTGGTTGGGGAGGGGCTCCGCGTTCCTTAAGTGCTTCACAGCTTGCCTCAGGTTTTCCTTAGGTTTTCGATCGGAAATCTAAGTTTGATTTGTGGGAAAAAAGGGCCCCGTTCCTTATTTAGGGTTTCTTAGGTCAACGCCCCGATTGTAGACGTCCTGGGGTCTCAGGGTTGGGCTTCCTGTGGAAGGTCTCCTGCGGACCTGGCCTCCGCTGTGGCGACGGTTCTCCCGCCCCCGCACAGAACCGGCGCGCCCCCTCGTCGGCTCGGGCGGCATCATTGGCCTCGTGTTTCCGGGGGGGGGGGGCTGCCTGCACCCGCGGAGCAGGAGGAGGAGGAGGAGGAGAAAATGGAGTCGTCGAGCCTCAGGGAGAAGGTGAGAAACATTGGGACGTGGGGGGGGGAGGAAGACAAAGACACAGAAAACATACTTCTGTCAGAATGCATGGGATCATGGTATTTGTGCCCATTTCTTTGTGTGTCCCTGGGCCCTTTGAGTGGATCTGGCGCCCACGCGCCGACTCGCCCTTCTTTTCTGACCGCCCCCGGGGGGCCAACAAAAACACTGCACCGGGAGACAGCCGTGCTGCTTCTTTCGCGGCGCCAGGGCGTCCTTCTCCCCCCCTCCCCCTCCTCGTTGTCCCCCTCCCTCCCCCTCCTCTTCTTCCCCCTCCCCTCCCCCTCCTCCTCGTTATCCCAAAACCTCCCTCCCCTCCCCTCCTCCCCCCCCCCCCCCCCCCCCTGGGCACCCGAGTGGGTCCCCACCCCCGGTACCAAGCGGGGCCCCCGGGCGTCGGGGTTGCGGCCTCGGTTCCTTCGCTCAGCCACGGAAAACGCCACCTCCCAGACCTCTTGGAGGACTTGGGCCCACTCACCAGGCTGCCTCGTTCTCCCCGTTCCCCCCCTCCTTTTCCCCCCTCCCCCTCCTCGTTCTCCCCCCCCCCCCCCCCTCTTTCTTCCTCATCCCTCTCCTCCCCCCCCCATCCATCTTCTCCCCCTCCCTCCCTTCCCCTCGGCGACCCCCCCCCTCATCTCCACTGGACGAGCTTAAGCATCCGAGCTGGAGCGTTCTGCCCCCCCACCCCCACCTCCGCCTCCTCCTCATCCGCACCCCTCCCCCTCCCTCGCCTCTCCTGCGCCGTCGAGACCCCCCCCCGTCGGAGGAGCGCCTGGGGGCGGCGATGCTGCAGAGGGCGGCACTGCAGGCGACCAGACCGGCACATATTCCCAGGGGACAGGAGGCAAGACGTGAGGGGCCTGCCTCCTCTTCCCCATCCTCTCCGCCGCCTCCTCCTCCTCCTCAGCGATCTGGCAACAAGTAGAGATGTAGTGTGTGTATATATATATATGTGTATGAGTGTGTGTGTGTGTGCGTGTGTGTTGTGTGTGTGTTGTGTGTGTGTGCGTGTGTGCGGGTGCGTGCGTGCGTGCGTGCGTGCGTGTGCGTGCGTGTGCATGTGCGTGCGCGCGTGCGTGCGTTTGTGTGTGTGCGTGTGTGTGTGTGTGCGCGCGTGCGTGTGTGTGTGATTGTGATTGTGATTGTGATTGTGATTGTGATTGTGATTGTGATTGTGATTGTGATTGTGATTGTGTGTGTGTGTTTGTGTGTGTGTGTGTGCGTGAGGGCTTGCAGCTTCCGCGCCGCGGGTACTTGGAGGGGTTCTCTAGTACGGCCTGCCGGCCTCCCGAGATCCCCAAGGTCTCCACTGTGTGCTCGGGGCCAGGTAAGTCCTCCAGAGGCAAGGTTGCGAGCCCTGAGCCTGATGTGCACCCGTCTCATGTGATTAGTTTTTGGCCAGAGTACCTTCTCCATGTTTACACGTGCTGTAGTCGGTATGGGACGGTTGCTTTCACACGCTTGATTGAGCGGTGCCCTAGCAAGAATCGGAAAGCTCAGGAGAATCTGTCGAGAACTGCGAAGGGACTCGACCCAAGACGGGAGGGGCCCCCGAGATCGGTGCCGGCGGCCCTGCAACAGGCGGAGTCTGGTGAGGCTGCTGCGTCTGAGAGCATCTCCCGCGGACTCTGCAGGAGCGTCCAGGGGCTGTGCAGCGCGGAGGTCTGAGCCTCCTGCCCCTTGCGAGGAGGCGCCGCAATGGTTCGCGCAGCTTTTTCTGAAAGGGCACGTCTTCAGACACCCTGTACCTGGTGCTCGGCTGCCAGGGACCCGTACCGTTAAGTCGGGCCTGTCCCTCTACAGGAGGAAAATTCAAAAACAGTCAAAAAATAGTCTGGGGACTATGTTGTGACTATTTTGGGGGCATCTTTTTCCCGGAAAGGGCTTAAGCCCAGGGTTCTCTTTTAGTAGGTAAACCTAGTCCCCCGGTGCCTGCTTGAAGGAGGCCGGCGAATTTTTTCCCTGATAAATAACGAGGTCGAAGGAGGCCGGCGAATTTTTCCCTGATAAATAACGAGCCCGCGAATTAAAATTTGAGGATGTCTCGAGCGAAACGCTTGTTTTTGAGCGCCCGCGAATTAAAATTTGAGGATGTCTCGAGCGAAACGCTTGTTTTTCAGAAAATGGTGAGGATGTCTCGAGCGAAACGCTTGTTTTGTGTTATAGATTGTCCTCTCCTGGGGACCTGAATTCTGAGGACCACCTCCCAGCACGACCACCCCACCAGCACGACCACCCCCCAGCACGACCACCCCCCAGCACGACCACACCCCAGCACGACCACTCCCCAGCACGACCACACCCAGCACGACCCCACCCCAGCACGACCCCACCCAAGCACGACCCCACCCCAGCACGACCACACCCCAGCACGACCACACCCCAGCACGACCCCACCCCAGCAAGACCACACCCCAGCACGACCACACCCCAGCACGACCTCAGCACAGCACGACCACACCCCAGCACGACCACGCCCCAGCACGACCACGCCCCAGCACGACCACGCCCCAGCACGACCAACCCCCAGCACGACCACCCCCCCAGCACGACCACCCCCAGCACGACCACCCCCCAGCACGACCACACCCCAGCACGACCACTCCCCAGCACGACCACACCCCAGCACGACCCCACCCCAGCACGACCCCACCCTAGCACGACCACACCCCAGCACGACCACACCCCAGCACGACCACACCCCAGCACGACCCCACCCAAGCACGACCCCACCCCAGCACGACCACACCCCAGCACGACCACACCCCAGCAGGACCCCACCCCAGCACGACCCCACCCCAGCACGGCCCCACCCCAGCAAGACCACACCCCAGCACGACCACACTCCAGCACGACCTCACCACAGCACGACCACTCCCCAGCACGATCACGCCCCAGCACGACCACGCCCCAGCACGACCACTCCCCAGCACGACCACCTCCCAGCACGACCACCCCCCCAGCACGACCACCCCCCAGCACGACCACCCCCCCAGCACGACCACACCCCAGCACGACCACACCCCAGCACGACCACACCCCAGCACGACCACACCCAGTCGCACCCCCGTGGAATGTTTCGTGGGGTGTCTCGTGGAATGTTTCGTGGGGTGTCTCGTGGAATGTTTCGTGGGGTGTCTCGTGGAATGTTTCGCGGGGTGTCTCGTGGAACGTTTCGCGAGGTGTCTCGTGGAATGTTTCGCGAGGTGTCTCGTGGGATGTTTCGCGGGGTGTCTCGTGGGATGTTTTGTGAGATGTCGCCCAGTTGGGTATCGTGAAAACGTGACCATGCTGCGCATGTCTATATCCCTTTCCGGGTTCGTGGGTCCATCATGTTTTGAGTATTTTTCGAGTATGCTTTTTATTTTTCCGCCCAGAATCCCCCTGTAGGGGGACACGCCCGACTTCCAGTCGGGGCCCTGAAGAAGGAACCCTTTTCGTTGGGGAGGGGCTCCGTGTTCCTTGATTGCTTCACAACTTGCCTTGGGTATTCCTTTGGTTTTCGATGGGAAATCGAATTTCAACTTGTGGATGAAAGGGGCCTCGTTCCTTATTTAGGGTTCCTTGGGTCAACGCTCCGAATGTAACCGTACCGAGAGAGAGCTGGCGGTTTTCGCGTTGACGGCCCGAGTCAGCCCTGTTGGCACCGGCGGCCTGCAGGAGAAGGGCCGGCCACCGAGGGATGCTGTCCGTTGGCTCAAGTCGGGCGTGTCCCGCTACGGGGGGGATTCTCGACGAAAAATCAAAGATACCCCAAAAATAACCCAAAACGGCCAACAAATACTCCAAAAGATAGTCCCCCTATTGTGAATATTCCCCCTGTAGAGGGACGGGCCCGACTGAACCGTTGGCCTCGGCTCTCGGCAGGCGGGCTCGCCGGGCTGCGCCGCGTGGGCGGCCCCATGTCGAATCCAGTCGTAGAAGCCTCCTTCCTTCCCCTCTCCGCTATCTCCTCCTCCTCCTCCTCCTCCTCCTCCTCCTCCTCTATCTCCTCCTCGTCCTCCTCCTCGTCCTCCTCCTCCTCCTCTTCCTCCTCTTCTATCTCCTTCTCGTCCTCCTCCTCTTCCTCCTCCTCCTTCTCATAATCCTCCCCCGTCTGCCGCTCCGCCGCCTCCGAATGCCCATCATCGCTCAGCGAGGAGGAGGAGATACCGAGGGAGAGGAGGGAGAACGACGACGAGGAGGATGATATTGATGATGATGATGATGATGATGATGATGCTGATGACGATGACGATGATGATGTTGATGATGATGACGATGATGGTAGTGGTGATGATGATGCTGATGCTGGTGATGCTGACGACGACGACGACGGTCACTATGACGACGAAGACGATGGCGATGATACGATGTCGATGGTGACGATGGTTGTGATGATGCTGCTGATGATGATGATGATGATAATGATGATGGTGATGCTGATGATGATGCTGACGATGATGATGATTATAATTACGATGATGCTGATGATGATGATGCTGATGATGGTGATTATGATAATAATAATGATAATAATAATCATAATAATAATAATAAAAATGATGATGATGATGATGATGATGATGATGATGACGATGATGATGATGATGATGATGATGATGATGATGATGATGATGATGATGATGATGATGATGATGATCCTGATGATGATGATGATGATGATGATGATGGTGGTGGTGGTGGTGGTGGTGGTGGTGATGGTGATGGTGGTGGTGGTGGTGGTGGTGCTGCTGCTGCTGCTACTGATCAGGATTATGATGCTAATGATGATAATGATGGTGATGCTGCTGACGATGATGGTGATGATGATAATGATGGTGATGGTAGTGATGATGATAATTCCGATGGCGATGACGATGACGACGACGATGATGGTGATGATGCTGATAATTTTAATGATGATGAAGATGACGATGATGGTACTGGTGATGATGAGTCTGATGCTGCTGATGATGCTGATGATGATGATGCTGCCGATAATGATGATGATGATGATGATGATGATGATGATGATGATGATGATGATGATGATGATGATGATGATGATGATGATGATGGTGATGGTGATGGTGATGATGATGATGATGATGATGATGATGATGATGATGATGACGATGATGGTGGTGGTGATGGTGAGGCGGAGGAGGAGGAGGAGGAGGAGGAGATAGAGGAGCTGGAGGAGGAGGAGGAGCATGCGGATGAGGAGGATTAGGAGGAGGATGCGGATCAGGATTATCAGGAGAAGTAGAAGAAGGAAGGTCAGGAGGAGGAGGGACGGGGAATCAGGAACAGGAGGAGGAAGTGGAGGGGTGGGACGAGAATGAGGGATAATGATGACGATGATGCTGATGATGATGATGATGATGATGATGATGATGATGTCACTGATGAGGAGGAAGAGGAGAACAACGACGACGACGATGCTGATGCTGATGCTGATGCTGATGCGGATGATGGTAATGCTGATGGCGATGATGATGCTGATGATGATGATGATGCTGATGCTGATGACGATGAAGATGAGGATGATGCGGATGCTGATGATGACGATGATAACGATGACGACGTTGATAACGATGACGATGCCGATCATGGTGATGATGCTGATGCTACTGGTGATGCTGATGATGCTGATGGTGGTGGCGATTATGTAGATGATGATGTTTGTGGTGATGATGGCGATATGGATGATGTTGATGATGCTGATGATTATGATGATGCTGATGGTGATGATGATGAGGATGCGGATTGTGCTGATTATGATTCTGATGATGCTGCTGATGATGATGATGCTGATGATGATGATTCTGCTGATGACGATGAGGGTGTTGATGCTGATGATGCGTATGACAATGATGATGACATTGACGGTGATGATGCTGTTGCTGATGATGATGATGATTGTGATGATGTTGATGATGATGATGACGATGATGATGAGGATGATGAGGATGCCCATGATGGCGATGATGACGATGATGACATCGATGACGATGATGATGCCAATCATGGTGATGATGCTGATGCTACTAATGATGCTGATGGTGGTGGCGATTATGTAGATGATGATGTTTGTGGTGATGATGATGATGATGATGATGAGGATTATGCCGATGATTATGATGATGCTGATGATGCTGAGCATGAGGGTGATGGTGATGCTGATTATGATGATGCTGCTGATGAGGATGATGATTCTTATGACGATGATAATGACATTGCCAGTGATGATGTTGTTGCTGTTGCTGATGTTGCTGATGTTCGTGATGGTGATGGTGGTGACGAGGTTGTTCATGATGATGGTGATTGTGATGGTGATGCTGATGACGCTGGTGATGATGATGTTGGTGATAATGCTAAAGATGATGTTGCTGCTGCTGCTGATGATGATGAGGTAGAGGAGGAGAAGAGGAGGAGAAGGAGGAGGAGGAGAGAAGGAGAAGGAGGAGGAGGAGGAGAAGGAGGAGGGGATGATGAGGAGCAGGAGGAGGAGAATGAGGAGGAGGAGGAGGAGGAGGGGAGGAGGAGGGACGATGAAGACGATGCGGAGCGGGGGGGAAGAGTTTGTGTGGTTGTTTGTGCGCGTGTGTGTGTCTTGTGTGTGTGTGTGTGTTTGTGTGTGCGCGCGTGTGTGTGTTTGTGTGTTTGTGTGTGTGTTTGCGCACGTGTGTGCGCGCGCGGCTGTGTGATGTGTGTTTGCGTGTGAGGAGGGGGGAGGCGGGGCGCGCGCGCGAGCGCGGGCAGTCGCGGCCGCGCCCCCGCGCGCGGCGCGCCAGCGCACGCTGGCCCGCCACTGCCTCGACGCGCACGTGGTCGACCAGCCCGAGGTCCGGGCGGGTCGGCAGAGTCAGTGGGAGGAGGACGAGGAGGACGTGGAGGGGGGAGGAGGGGGGAGGAGAACGGGGGAGGAGGAGTAGGACGAAGGGAGAAGGAGGGGGAGCTTTTGGGGGGAGGAGGAGGAGGAGGAGGAGGAGGAGGAGGAGGAGGAGGAGGAGGAGGAGGAGGAGGAGGGGGAGGAGGAGGAGGAGGAGGAGGAGGAGGAGGAGGAGGAGGAGGGGCGGCCACGCGCGAGGAGGTGGAGACGGACGAGGAGAGGGGGAATGAAGAGGAGGATGAGGAGGAAGAGGAGGAGGCCACTTCGCGTCTCCACAACAGGCACGGCTTTCCGCCCTCCGCCCTCCTTACGTATTTCCCCAGACAGGGTTTGCACTCAGGGGGATCCTATTCGGTTCTAAGGAACTGGACCTGCGCGTCGATCTGGCAGCTATGTGGTCGCCGTGGCCGCCCCGTCGCCGCCTTATCGCCGTCCGACGTCGGGGCCTGCGCGTCGTGTTCGCCGCCTTGTGGTCGCCGTCGCCGCCCCGTCGCCGCCCCGTCGCCGCCCTGTCGCCGCCTGTCGTCTGGGCCTGGGTGGCGGTCCGGCCGCCGTACGCCAACGTGCGCGACGGGCACTTCCTTCGCGCGCTCGGCCGCCGCCGTCGTCGCCGCCCCGTCGCCGCGTCGTCTCCGCCCGCCGCCGCGTCGCCGCATAGCTTTGCATTGCTTTGCATTGCTCTGCACTGCTCTGCGTTGCTCTGCACTGTGTTGCATTGTTCACGTTACTTTGCATTGCTCTACGCTGCTTGGCATTGCCTTACGCTGACTTGCGTTGTTTTCTTTGCGTTGCTTGGCGCTGATTTATCCAAGACGCCTACGGCGAATCACTGCCGCCCCCTGCCCTTTGAAATCGCCAATCTGGCCGAGCGTTGTGGCAAGAGCTCTGCCAATCTATCGGACCATTTGTTCCCCCAACCGTTGTGGAAACCCTTCGGGGAATATTTGACCTCTTGTGGGCCTTTGGGAGCTTCTCGGGGGCCTCTTTGGCCGTCTCAGGGCATTCCTGGCACGTCTGACGCCGTCGGGAGCCGTCTTGGGGGCCTTTCTGGGCCAGCTTGAAACCTTCTCGAGGTGCTCCAGGGCCGTCTTGGAGGCCATCTTGGGCGTCTTGCGGGCCTCTTGGACCGTCTGGGGGCCCTCTTGGGACCGTCTTGGGGGCTTATTGGGCCGTTCTGGGGCCATCCTAGAAGCCTCTTGGGCGATCTTTGGGGGCTCCTGGGCCGTCTCGAGCCGTCGGAAGGCCGAAAAGAAGCAAATGCCCAAATCTTAAAAAACTAAGGAAAATCAATGATGTTGGCCTCTTCGGGCCTTCCTGGGGGCCCTCTTGGAAGCTTCTTGGGCCGTCTTGGAGACCGCTTGGGGGCCTCTTGTGCCGTCGTGGGCCATCTTGGAGCCAACTTGGGCCGTCTTGGTGGGCTCTCGGTTCGTCTGACGTCGTCGGAAGCTGTCTTGGGGGCCTCTTTGGGCCGACTGGGTGCCCTCTTGGGGTGCTTCAGGGCCGTCTTGGAGGCCATCTTGCCCTCTCGGGGTGCTTCAGGGCCGTCTTGGAGGCCATCTTGGGCGTCTTGGAGGCTTCTTGGGTCGTCTTGGGGCCCTCCTGGGGCGGTCTTGGGGGCCTCTTGGGCCGTCCTGGGGCCATCTTGGAGGCCTCTTCGGCGATCTTGGGGCGATGTATGGGGGGTCCTCTTGGAGGCCTCTTGGGCCGCCTTTGAGGCCTCTTGGGGGCCTCTTGGGGACCTCTTGGGCCCACCTGGTCCATGTTGGAGACTTCTTGGGCGGATTTGGACGCATCTTGGATACTCTTGGGCCGTCTTGGATGCCAGATGTAACTGACCATCTTCGGCAAACTTAGAGGCCATCTCGGGCCATCTGAGCCATCTTAGAAGCCATCTTGGAACAGAAAAGGCATTGACATAACACATTTGCGGTCCTTTCCGGGTGGCCGGCGGGACGGGCCGAAGCCCCAGGGGGGGTTCTTTCGGGAAAAAACAAAACCAAAGCCCGTAGGATTTAGCACGCCAGGCGCCCCTGTGACAAGCACAGGGGGCGGCGGATGACGGAAAGCGCGCGTAGCGTCGCTATCCGTTAGTTGCGAGAAATAACGGGGGGGGGGGGGGGGGCAAACCCGGGACCAGATCTAATTGTCAAGATTTCGGCCTTTTTGGACTCAAGACGGTCCAAGTCAGCCCCAAGAGCGCCTAAGAGGCCCCCAAGACGGCCCAAGACAGCCCCAAGAGCGGCCAACATACCTCCAAGACGGCGTGACAAGCACAGGGGGCGGCGGATCGAATGGCCTTCGGCCCATACCGCCACCGCGCCTGGGTTGTGGGACGGCGACGGGCGGCGACAGCGGCGGCGGCGGCCCCCGCGCAGGTCGTCGCCCTCCCGGCCGCCGACGTGCGCGCCGTCGCCGCGGCCATCCGCCCGGCGAGGCCCGAGGAGCAGCGCGGGCGGGGGCCTCAGTCGGCGCGGCGCTCCGCAGGCGAGAGGTCCGTGAGCGAAGAGCACATGCGTGTCCGTACTCTGGGTGGGATGTAGTCGTCGAGGGGTGGGCGACTGACTTTCGGACGGGGGAGGAGAAGGAGGAGGAGGAGGAGGAGGAGGAGGAGGAGGAGGAGGAGGAGGCGGAGGAGAGGGGGAGGAGGAGGAGGAGGAGGACCCCCTCCCCCTCCAATGTATGATGATGGTGGTGGTGGTGGTGGAAAACAGGCCCATCAGAGAAGAGAGCGGGTACTCCAAAGCGTGTGTGTAAGACAAGGCAGGGGGTCCACGACCGTCCCAGACGAGCAGTTCTCTTTACACCCCCTCCAGAGCAGACGTGCAAGGGTGGCCTTTGTGCCCAGACCCCGCAGAACCCTCGAAGGCAGCTCACATCAGGGCCCTTCCCAAATCAGACCTCCCCCTCCGTTTATGGCGAAATCCGGAGTAACCGTGAATTTTCGGAGTTCCGCGCAGATGTCCTGGACCTGCGCTGGGACACCCCATTCTTACGCAGTTTTTTGCTCCACCAGTCAGACAGGGATCGGGAACGAAAAACTCCCCCGCCCACCCTGGGAAAGGTGGCGGGACCTTCCTGGAGCCGCGCACTGAAACAAAGCCATCGTCCGATGTATGGGTGCGCAGCGCGGGTCGGTCCGCGCCCGCCCCCTCCCGTCCCCAGTTCTCCGGCGGGTTGAGGTTCGAGGGCGGAGGTTTTTTGCCCTTACGTTGCCTTTTCGAGGCATGCTCGCTCCGGCGGCTGGGACCGCCTCGAGGAAGTGCTAGCCAGGCCGCACCCTTGCTGAGGTCCAGGGGCGGCTGGCTGACTCCAGCGCCAACCCGTCCCCAGAGGTTCGGGCGGGTTGATTGCTTCAATCCCAGCGGATACACTTCGTCCTTCTCCTCCTCCTCCTCCTCCTCCTCCTCCTCCTCCTCCTCCTCCTCCTCCTTCCTCCTCCTCCTCCTCCTCCTCCTCCCCTCCTCCTCCTCCTCCTCCTCCTCTCCTCCTCGCCCTCCTCGTCCCTCCTGCTCCAACTCCGTCTCCTCCTCTCCTCCTCCTCCTCCTCCTTCCTCCTCCTCATACTCGCCCGCCTCGTCCCCCTCCTGCTCCTCCTCCTCTCCCTCCTCCTCCTCGCTCCTCCTCCTCCTCCTCCTCCTCCTCCTCCTCCTCCCCCTCCTTCTCCTCCTCCTCCTCTCCTCCTCCTCCTCCTCCTCCTCCCTCCTCCTCCTTCTCCTCCCCTCCTTCTCCTGCCTGCTGCTGCTTTCTCCTCCTCCTCCTCCTCCTCCTGCTCTGCTGCTGCCTCCGCCTCCTCCGTCCTTCTCCTCCTCCTCTCCCGCCTCCTCCTCCTCCTCCTCCCTCCTTCCTCCTCCTCCTCCTCCTCCTCCTCCTCCTCCTCCCTCCTCCTTCTCCTCCTCCTCCGCCTCCTCCGCCTCGTCCTCCGCCTCCATTGCGGCGCGGCGCGGCGCCAGAGGAGGGCAGCATGTGGCGAAGACCGCCCCTGTGCGCGCTCGCGGCGCTGCTGGGCACGGTCGGGGCGGGCGAGGATCCGGCAGGAAAGACGACATCATACATTGGAGGCCCGTGCCAAGAAACACTCTGCTCGCCTCCGGGGTGCCCTGCGTTTCTTGGGCGTCGATGGTTATGCCATGGAAAGCATGGCGTTCCCACACGACAAGTCGATGGACGTCCTGGGCTCCCAGGGGTGGTTTTCTTGTGGAAGGTTTCTTGTGGTCGGGCCCCTACTCTAAGCATAAGCATCCAGAGATCTGCGCGGATTTCTTGGATCGGCTTCGGGCCCCCATGCCTGGCGCGCGGAGCGCGCCAGGGGCGGCGCCAGAGGCGCCGCCAGGGTGGCCAAGTGCCGATCCACGACATCCGCGCGGACCGCCGAAAATTTATGTCCATGCAGCATGGCTCGGCCACGCGCAGAGGGTGGCAGGGGAAGGGGGGAATGCTCCTTAGAAGCACCCCTGCTTCTTAGGAGGCGCGGGCCTTCTCTATATAGGCGTAGGGCCGGCGCCTTCTAAGAAGCAGCCTCCTCCTCAGAAACCTTCCCCCCGCCCCTACCCCCTTGTGCTCGCCGCAACTTGTCAGTCCTCGAGAGGCGCCGCCAGGGGGGCCAGTGCCGAGCCAAGAACTCCGCGCGGAACACCGAAAGCTTACGTTAATTTTCGGTTGTTCTTATCGTACTTAAGGACCACATCCCAGAAATGATTTCGAGCGTCCCGAAAGTTTCGAAACAATGTCTGCCCGACACGCTGGTGAGGTGCCGAACGAATATCGTCTCCCAGGGCCCGACACGTGAAAACCGTGCCAATACTTTCTTGGTGCTCGAAATTCCTCTTGGTGATCAGGTCTGAAGTGGGTTTGAACATCATAAGGTTCATACAGCTTGTCGCCGGGCGGGGCTAGGACGAGGATCAATCCGTTCCGGAGCCTTCGGGAACGCGATCCAGATCGCCCTGAGAAGGCCGCGGCGCCCGAGACATCCTCCAGAGCCGCTAGATCTCAGAGATTCCCGATTTATCCTCGTTCGATGTTATCCTCGTCCTGGCTTCTTTTCATTGAGGGGAGTGAGCAATGATAAACATACAAAAAACTCTGAGGTCCGCGCAGATTTCTCGGATCCGCGATGGACCCCCCTGGCGGCGCCTCCGGCGCCGCCCCCTGCGCCAGGGAGGGGGCTCCAGCGCCGATCCGAGCAATCCGCGCGGACCTCCGAGCTGTTGTGTTTATGCCATGCTTCCTTCCCCGATCGTTTTCAGGGTGCCCCCTGAGAGGAGTTCGTCCTCGTCCTCCTCGTTCGATTTTATCCTCGTTCGATGTTGTCCCCGTTCGATGCTACCTCCTCGCCCTGGCTTTTCGTGTTTGGGGTGCCCCCGAGAGGAGTTCGTCCTCCTGGGCGCCGCCCCCCGCAGGGCCGAGCTCTTCTGGCTCCAGAGCCGCCAGATCTCAGAGATTCCCGGTTCATCCCCGTTCGATGTTACCTCCTCGCCCTGGCTTCGTTTTGCTGGGCGCCCCCGAGATGAGCTCGTCGTCGTTCGATGTTGTCTCCTCGCCCTGGCTTTTCGTTTTTGGGGTGCCCCCGAGAGGAGCTCATCCTCCTGGGCGCAGCCCCCCGCAGGGCCGAGCTCTTCTGGCTCCAGAGCCGCCAGATCTCAGAGATTCCCGATTTATCCCCGTTCGATGTTACCTCCTCGCCCTGGCTGCGTTTTTTTGGGCGCCCCCCGAGAGGAGTTCGTCCTCGTTCGATGCTATCTCCTCGCCCTGGCTTCGTTTTTGGGGCGCCCCCGAAAGGAGTTCCGTCCTCGTTCGATGTGACCGCCTCGCCTTGGCTGTTCGTTTTTGGGGCGCCCCCGAGAGGAGTTCCGTCCCCGTTCGACGCTATCTCCTCGCCCTGGCTTCGTTTTTGGGGCGCCCCCGAAAGGAGTTCCGTCCTCGTTCGATGTGACCGCCTCGCCCTGGCTTTTCGTTTTTGGGGCGCCCCCGAGAGGACTGATGCTACCGCCTCGCCCTGGCTTTTCGTTTTTGGGGCGCCCCCGAGAGGAGTTCCGTCCTCGTTCGATGTGACCGCCTCGCCCTGACTTTTCGTTTTTGGGCCGCCCCCGAGAGGACTTCCGTGCTCGTTCGATGCTACCGCCTCGCCCTGGCTTTTCGTTTTTGGGGCGCCCCCGAGAGGAGTTCCGCCCTCGTTCGATGTGACCGCCTCGCACTGGCTTCTCGCTCTTGGGGCGCCCCCGAGAGGACTTCCGTCCTCGTTCGATGTGACCGCCTCGCCCTGGCTTCTCGTTCTTGGGGCGCCCCCGACCCAGACCCCCGACTTCATGATTTTTTCATGACGCGACCCCCAGAGGTCCGGACCTATTCGCCGGGACCGGTTTTTCATCCTGAGTCGTTTTTTGACGGTCCCGAGGGCCGGTAAGGGCCCCCAGAGGCGGAAAATATGGAAAAACCTTCCGTCGTGATTTCTTCATGACTCGAGGGGGTCTGGGGAGAGGAGCTCGTCCTCCTGGGCGCCGCCCCCCGCAGCGCCGAGCTCTTCTGGCTCCCGCGGGGGGCCGGCGACCCCGGGCCGGGCCAGCGGGCGGGCGTGCTGCCGCCCGGCTCCGCGGGCGCCCCCCGCGTGGTGCGCCAGGCGGGCCGGCGCAGCACGGCGCGCGGCCCGACGTCGGGCCCGCCCCTCTGTAAAACGGCGCGAAGATCGGGACAAAATCGGATCGGGAGAACTCGAAATCTCTGAGAATCGGCGGGTTTGGAGGATGTATATTGGGCGCCGCGGCCGCTCCAGAGCGTTCCGGAACGCTCTGAAAGCGCTCCGGAACGCTCTGGAGCGATTTATCCCGATCCCAGCCCTGTTTTACTCTGCAGGAGGAACACGATTCCAACATCGTCTGGGGGGACTTTTTTCCCGGAAAGGGCTTAAGCCCAGGGTTCTCTTTTAGTAGGTAAACCTGTCCCCCGGTGCCTGCTTGAAGGAGGCCGGCGAATTTTTTCCCTGATAAATAACGAGGTCGAAGGAGGCCGGCGAATTTTTCCCTGATAAATAACGAGCCCGAGAATTAAAATTTGAGGATGTCTCGAGCGAAACGCTTGTTTTTGAGGCCGGCGAATTAAAATTTGAGGATGTCTCGAGCGTAACGCTTGTTTTTGATATCCCGACCTCACCACACCCCAGCACGACCACACCCCAGCACGACCTCACCACAGCACGACCACACCCCAGCACGACCACGCCCCAGCACTCAGCACGAACACCCCCAGCACACCCCGACCCGATCGATTAAAGTCACAGGGTTCGGACCACCCCAGCACGACACACCCCAGCACCGACCCCACTCCAGCCGACCCCACCCCAGGCACGACCACAGGCTCACAGGCCCCAGCAACATGAGCACACCCCAACACGACCACACCCCCCGACACACTCAGCACGACCCCGCCTCAGCACGACCCACCCCAGCAACGACCACA